AAAAACAAAATAAGATTTCAATAAATAAATAATTTCCTAATGAATAAAACACATATGAATTGAATTTTATTTTTTTGGGAACAAAAATTTCATTGTATTGAAGAATCACTGAATGGAAGTGATATGTAGTGAATGTATTGCATAACTAAACGGCAATTAAAGTCAACTCTCGTCTCGTTATGTATTCACTAGAAGAGAGACTTTAAACAAAAAAAATGCAATAAATTATTTGTTTTAATAAAATCAATAAAAGATGAGAATATTCTGTTGTGTTGTGCGAAGAATTTTCAACAAAAATCACTTTTTGTGATGAATTTGTATAAAAAGATAATTCAAAACCTCTTTTCAAAGGGAAAGTTAATTAAATATCTCAATCAAAATGATTGAAAACAGGAAAATATCAATCATTGAGTTTAGATATAGAGATTGCGTTCGCAAATCGTTATGAATATTAAATGAATGCATTAAATGTATTACACATTTGAAACAACATTTGTTTATTAATTATGAAAAGATATTTTATTTTTTGTAAAACCAATAAACTATTGATTGATAACAAATTAGTTATCACGAGATTTTAAGTGTGTTTTGCCTTTAAATACAGGTTTGCTTTACAAATAACGGTCAATACATTAGTTAAACATTAATTAAGTGCAAGATTTTCTTCTATTTTCACATCAATTACTGAATGCATTCATAAAAACTTGATTTCCTTAGGCTTTAAAAACACATTTTTACAAAATAAACGTTTTAATGTCTTTTATATCGTGAATACATTTAACTTACATTTTAAGTTATAATTAAATACTCTTTCATATTATATACTGTATATAATAAGACATTGAAATTCATGTGACGATTGAATTCTTGGATTATTAGGTCACACCATATATAACTTAAATGTCATAATATTTTAGTTTAAAATATATATTTTTAATAAATATAGTAAACAGATTTAGGGTAAAAATTACTGTTAGTTTCAATGGTTATAATAAAACAGTATTTGAACACAAAAATACATTGTAGAGAAACAAAGCCGAGAGACGATCATAAATCAAACCAAACGAAACGCCATCACTGGATGTCTTCTCAGGCTTTCACCTAATTTTTGATTCAGAAAATCAATCATTTGTTTTCAAAGCATAGAAATAATAGTCAAAATAGAAGAGAAAACACAATATTAGGATAAAATAGAGAAATGTGTAAACCCTAACCTTATAGCACTTCTTCTTGCACTGACGGTCGCAGTCGGTGTCCAACGAGACGAGTCCATACTTCTTGCAACGCCTCACTTTGAGACACTTGTCCATACAGGCCATCTCGAAGGCACTCTCACACACGTCCACCGACGACAGTATGACCAGCGAAGACAAACACAGGACAACCAGAATAAAACGCGAATCCATTTCTGAGTCTTTTTTTCTTTCTCTGGCGTTAATCTGCTTTTAGTGGAGAAGTTATGGCAAAAACTTGTGAACAAAACTCAGATATTGAGCGTTGAATGAAAATGTGGGGATATTTTGGTGTCAAACTATTTGCTCATTGGTATGCTTTGAAAGGCACTCTTAGCCTCATTTGATACCGAATCCAATCGATTAGAGCCTCAAAACTTAAAACCAGTCTTTTTCTCTATTTATTCAATCATTCATTTACTTTATTGAATTCAGTTCTTTGATTGAGATTCAAGTGTTGGACAAATAATAGACATTAAGATCTTAGAAGTGAAGGCCATTTGTCTCGTATATCAATATTTGTATTCAAATGTGTTTCCAATTTTAAACAAATGTATTTATTAATAGTCTTAGACTTTAATACACGATAAATAGGAGACAATCTGTCATTCAATAAATTGTTCACAAATTGTGATCAGAATCACAATCATTAATATTAGTGAGCATTTCATCTAAAAGTAGGTCCAAGTCTTGCATTTTTGATTTCATAGTCCCTTTCCTTCCTCTTTATAGTTATCGTTATATTAATATACAATTCAATTATTAGTAAATTGTTAATTGATTTTAATTAATATCTAATAATAATTACTATTCAATTTAATCAAATCAAGTGACCATGGTTCTAATACATGTTCTCTATATTTGATAATTAGTGTCAATTAATAAATAGTTTAAAAGAGTTAATAAAAATTTATATAAAAAATAAGAAACAAAAATATTTGAATCGATGGATAATAAATGAATACATAATTAAATCACAATTAAAGACAAACCAATGTTTGATTAAAACTTATAAAAACTTATGATTAATTCAATGCCATCTCTAGACACACAATTGTATTCATTCATCAATTTTATAAAATAAATGCTTATGTAATGAATGTGAGTGTATAGCGAGTTGAGTCCAGGGGTGGGTTCGGTCGGCGGCCACTATTGAGGGACAATAATAGGCGGCCAGAGATATCGGGTGCGCAACGATAGCGGGTGTGAGAGGCCCCGCGCTGGGCTCTCACAGGTCTGGCGATTGGGGGCGCGCGTTCACCGAACACGCGTTCGAACACGAGATGCTCTCTCGAGTGGTGGCCGATCCTCTCGGCAGCGGATCCTCTCCGCAGCAGGTCCTCCCTGCGTGTGTGTGTGTCTCCTGTCAGGGCCCACAACGGGGTGTGTCTGACCTTCCGGTGAGGGCGTATCTCTTCCGGGGGCGGGGGTATCGACACGCGTTGACGGGGAATGCCGCCGCAGCGTGTTGGGCGGTGGCCACAGATGCTCTCTGTGGGTGTACTCACGCACGGAGTCAACGGAGTGCTCCTCCGGATCCGTCCACCCGATGCCGACGCAGAGTCTCCAGAGACAACACAAGTGGTTCAATAAACAACTGTTTAATATGCAAAGCAAACCGAGACTGAAGTGTTTGCCCACAAAACCAGGGCTTATATACACGTTTGTGGCTAAGGGTTAGGGATTTATACAATCATAAAATATTAGGGAAAATACTATAAAAACTGTTAAACAATTAGACATTTAAATATAACTTATAAAACATATAAAACTTAAGGAACTTTCCAATCATCGCATATCCTATCGTATGATTGCTCAGCATTTGTGACACTTATATTTTTAATTTATATCTTTAATAAATAATTTGCTTAATATTTAGACATATTTAACACAATTATTAATATAATTATTTACACAATTAATAAATCATTTAAAAATTAAATAATTAATAATTTTACAGTTAATAGCAATTCAATAGTAAACTCTATTAATGGACGTAATTATTGAATAAAATATCAATTTTATAAATAAATGACTGATTTGTGAATTGAATGCAAAAAATAAACAACAATTAAATTGAGACCAAATGTCGCGAGTATTGAGCGGATTATCAATCGGTATAACACTTAACACACATTCAATGGACACCAAAACACTAAACAATGCATTCATTGATTGATTGATTCATTTCAGCGCAACGTTGGCGAAGCTGTCGATCGTTGAGCACATCCGCAGTGGTCTTCGGCGGAGAGTATAAACAATTGGGTTCATTGAAGTCGATGGAGTGGAAGGACATCACCGACCGGTCGATGCAATCGATACTCATCACAGAAATGACACGAGGAATGGGCGTCGCGTTGGGACAGATGTTCAAAGAGCCGGCGACTATCAACTATCCCTTCGAGAAGGGACCCATTAGTCCGCGCTTTCGCGGCGAACACGCCCTCAGGCGCTACCCGTCGGGCGAAGAGCGCTGTATTGCGTGCAAACTGTGTGAAGCCATTTGTCCGGCGCAGGCCATCACCATCGAGGCCGAGGAGAGGGCCGACGGGTCGCGACGCACCACCCGTTACGACATCGATATGACGAAATGCATTTACTGCGGCTTCTGTCAGGAGGCGTGTCCGGTCGACGCCATCGTCGAGGGACCCAACTTCGAGTACTCCACCGAAACGCACGAAGAGTTGCTCTACAATAAGGAGAAACTGTTGAACAACGGCGACAAATGGGAGGCAGAGATCGCCGCCAACTTAGAGGCCGACCATCTCTACCGTTAGGGCGCCGACGGCTTTCAAATTGTTGTTTTAGATATTAATTACATGTAAATTTAGGCATTGATTTAACAAATATTAATAATAATTAAAAGATACTCTAATTTAAAGACTCTTTAATTCCTTTCTGTGAATGGTTTGCAACAAAAAAAACAAAACTATAAATAAATAGTTTGGACCAAAAGGGCATTTAAAAGGACTGGCAGTTTAGCATAACCTCTGGCGCTGTGTGTCTGTCGCGTCTAATGTGAAGTTCACTCTAAAGGCGATGTAAAGTCAAAAGTTAACTTTTAGTTAACTTTAAATCACAATTTGTTTGTTATATTACAGTCGATAAAAACTCTTTTTACTCTAAATTACAAGTTATGATAAAAGCTATTAATTAATTAAAATTGAAAACATTTTTCTAAAGACAATTAGATCTCTAGAAACATAATCCTCGGGTCTTCTACGACGGCCTTGATTTTGCGTAGAAAAGTGACCGCTTCTCGGCCGTCGACCAGTCGGTGATCATATGTGAGACACACGTACATCATTGGCCGGATCTCAATCTGTGAATATATAGTCAAACATATCGTTAATACATATTTGGGTCAAATATAAAGTAAATTATGTACAAAAACAATAATTAATGTTTAGTTTACTTAAGGTTTCAAATGAAATATCAAACGATTGCATAAACGGTAATAAAAGTTTTGGCTTTCAGTGATTAAAAAATTAGATAAATATAAGTTTTTTGGCTAAAAGTCACGAATAATAACTAATATAACACTTATTTTGTTCACATTTAAGTCAATTAATCAAATCAATGCCAAACTAATGTGAACACAATTCTCAAATTTGCTTAATTCATAGCTCACTAATCACTCGCTAAACATAAATGTTATTTCAATACTTATAATTTAAAACCACAAAATAAATTAAATCATTAAATGATTGACAAATAATGAAAACGCGACTAAATGTATACCTTATGATTGATGACAACCGGTCTTTCAATAATGGCATGCATTCCCAAAATGGCTGATTGCGGAGGATTTATGATAGGAGTGCCAAACATTGAGCCAAAAACGCCGCCATTGCTTATAGTAAAGGTTCCGCCGTCCATGTCCTCGATGGCCAACGAACCACTTCGGGCCTGACATCGTATTACAGACATAATATTAGAGTCATAATAGGCATCGTTTCAACAATATTGCATACCTTTTCTCCCAAACCGCTAATAGTTTTCTCGATGTCAGCGTAACTCATATTCTCCACATTTCTAATGACGGGCACAACAAGTCCTTTAGGTGTGGCCACAGCGACACTGATGTCCACATAATCGCGATACAAGACCTCCTGGTCGTCGATCACAGCGTTGACGATCGGCTGATCGGTGAGCGCATAGGCGGACGCCTTCACGAACGCCGACATAAAACCTAATTTCAAGTTATGTCTCTTCAGAAACGCGTCTTTGTGTGCGTTTCGCATCTCAATTACGTTACTGTCGGACAAATAGATATACCATTAATAAAAAAATTCCCGATTTTCTCAATGATTTCCAAACCTCATATCTATCTCATTAAAAGTGGTGAGCATTGCATAAGTGTTTTGGGCGTCTTTCAGTCTTTGAGCGATTCTAAGTCTCATTCGATTCATTTTAACCCTATTTTCTTTTCTCGTTCCCAATCCAAAGCCCGTGTCCTCCGCCTGTGCTATAGGTTTAACAGATCCCACAGGAGTTGACGACATTGGAGCAGAAGGTCTCGATGGAGGCGGTGGTGGTTTCGATGGCACTTCTGCCGCTGGTTTTGATGGTGGGGTCGCTTTAGGAGCGGTTTCTTGCGGTGGTTTGGCCGCCGCTTCTGCCTTTTTAGGTGCGCCTCCGGCGCCCACTTTGATCTTAAGCACAGCTTTTCCGGGCTGTACTGTCGAGCCGTCCTCTACTAGTAATTCCACTATAACTCCGGCCACAGGAGAATGGATTGGAACCGATGTCTACAAAACAATAAGTCAACAATTGTTAATTATATGAAATATACTGTACATGAAATGTATCTAAATCTCTATATAAGTAACCTATTTATGAATGTAAACATGTAATTATAAACTGATTTTCAAAATAATAACAGTTCCTATGGGTATTTGTGTCACACATTGTTATTATAAATCAAACCGTTTATATCGGGAACCAATTTTAAGGTCCAATTGAGTTATCATTAAAGGGGTCGGACTGTAATGACTGTAATTTAATTATTGTTAAATACAAAAAAGAAAGATTTGAGTTATGCATTGAAATAACAAGAATTCAACGATTATTTTATATTGTATTCAAAGAAATGCTTTTATTATAAAATAATTTTATCTAAAAATCGATGACATTCTTTCACTCAAATACTGCAGACAATGAGACGAGAATTTGCTTTTAACTTATTATCTAATTAACAAAAATTAAATCAATTTCACTTTAAATGAATTTACATTTCTCTCTATTTTTAAAACTATGACCCAAACGGCAATCACATAATTCTTGTGTCCATTCCTTAAATTGATATCCAATTTAAACAGAATTTAAATAATTTTTGCAATCGTTTTATTTTGATTCTTGTTTTAAACAAAATAAATTAAAAATATTTAATTTCAACGATTCTATTGTTACTTAAGTCTATGAATATTGATATAAGAGAGTAATTTGTGTACATATTATACAGTGTACACCAAATGCAGAATTTTAACGATTATTTAAGCGAAACACAAATGAAACGATAATATATAGTCCAAAGAATACACAGAATAACATAAGTGTATGTTCTGTGAGCTATGAAATAGTGTTTAGAAAGCAATATAAAGGGTAAACAAAATCAATAGGAAAAGGATTTTTCTTGGCTTTCAATGAATATTCAAATTAACAAATTTATAACGAAAAAGAATTAGTGATAAACTTATTATTCCGCTTCACATCATATATAGCTCTGGACTTTATTTAGATATAATGTATAAGAGTTTGATATAAAAAATTGATTGCATTAAAAACGTCAAAGAAATTGCTTCAATAGATTGTTAATCGAGTTTTTTGTGTCCAAACTCTGGCACTGAAAAGCATTATATTTTTGGTTTCGATTCCAAGATTCAAACAAAAGGCATAAAAAGCTGTTTAATTAGTGCTTTGGTATTGTCTTTCAGTATTACTTAACTTATCAAATATCTATTGAAAATATTCTCTTTAAATTCATATCCTATTTATAAAAAGAGAGCAAAAACTGATAAACAATTTTTGTCTTTTTCTAAATAGTTTGCAAACTTAATGAATGGATAAATGACTGAATGTATTGTTTTGTTGCGACAAACCATAAAAACGAGGAATAATTAAAGAATGCATTACTTTATACTTAAACTCATTTTCTAATATAAAAAGCAGAGATAAAGTTATCCGCCAATGCCTACCATATGAGCCACTTTTGTCGTCATATAAATCACTACTCATTGTCTTATAAAAACATTATCGACAAAACTATAGCCATATATACAGCACCCGATATGAGAGGGGAGAGAGAGAGAGAAAAGTGCCTCACTTTTTGTGGCTTTGAATTATAGATTCTCAACGAGAATGCCTTTCATTCGCAATAATAATTATAAATAGCTATTAGTTTATGCAAAGAAATGAATACATAATGTGAGCGTTACATAACATTGTAGTCGTATTCACGCAATAATAATGATTAACTAATTGAAAAAGATTTTCTTTCGACCAAAAAAACTAATTTTTCCTGACTTTAAATTATTATTATTACTATTACTGGTATGTATTGTCATTACGATTACGACCTCTTTTTTAATATTAACTTTTTTTCGCCGCATTAATAAACTAAGGACTCAGTTATTGCCGGCAAATGGCTTTCATTGTTTGAAAAAACAATTTTTAACCGCTATTACCGTATAAATGGTATAATCATTGGTTGGCTTTTCTGATTCTTTATACCATTAAATACTTAAGTAATATTAATATTAATAACTTATTAACAGTAAAGAGAGGGAAAGAAGAGTTTATTTGGTATTAAACATAAGATATGTTGCATTTAATGCCAGCCTTTTATGATTGAATAATACAATTACAATACAATTACACACTTTAACGCTAAGAAAGAGTTAGAGAAATGCATTTCAGATAAACATAACTCGTATTTCGTATCACAAATGGGAAGAGAAATAAAGAGCAAATAAAGTGGTAATAATAATACGGTTATGAAAACAAACAAAAACCAATGAATTCATCGTTTATACCAACAAAACAAAACAGATATAATGGAAATGTTTTGCATTTAGAAATGCATTTCTAATTGAAATTAAGAAAAATTACAATAAATGTTATGAAAAGAGTAGAGTATAAGCAAAAGTGCATTCATAGCATAGATATGCCTAATATTAGATGCAATGTCTGATTCTGGCATTTCATTCATTATTATTAAACAAAGAATATTTTAAGTGAAATGTTTTATCTCAGAGACAAGAAAAGGCAAAAATACAAATATTTATCATTTTATCGCAACTGATAGACAATTA